CCAATCTTGCTGACACTACTTGACATTTTCAAAAAAAGCTAACTCTCTAAAACATGGGTAGGGGCTTGTCTTCCCCTACTGAATTACCCAAAAAAAAAAAAAGTTGTAAGCAATACTTTTGGTTTAGTTTTTTATGATGTTTGTGTTACTATTTACCTAATTTTGGGGGTTAAAGCATCATTAAAATGGGAGGACTTTGGTAAACAGTCCTTTAGAAAATGCCCCCTATTTTCCATATTTCACACTCATATCTGCATTACCTTTGGTTCATAACTTTGATTTTGAACCGGGGTCTTTTATTTAGAACTTCAAGTTTTGAATCGAGCTTTCATTAAAAACTTTTCAGTAAAAAATAAGTAAGAGCCCAGGTCAGAACTTAAACTTCCGAACGGGCCACTAATCTTTTATTTTTATTTTATAACAAATTTTGAATCATTTCCGTGTTCTTAAATAAAGTTAGTTCAATGTGCTACCTAGGGAGCACCTTGCAAATTTAGCCCCTAAAATACCTATTTAGAAAGGTGTCTAGCGTGATAAGTCCGCTGCCTCATCTATTCCCGATATTCATCGCCATGATCCTTCTTAGAAATGATTTTGGATCCAAAATACAGACCATAAGGACCATGAATATAGAAAAGTAAAATAAAGTTTGAAATTTAGAACTGATATTTTTTACTCTTTTTTTTTTTTTGCACAATTGTTCTATTTTTCTTTTGGGTAGTTTAGTGAAGAACGGGTCCGTACCCATAGCAAAAATAAAACTCAAGACAATACATTATGGCGCTCCACCACCTTGACCACTGAGCCTCGAGCCCAATCCTTGCACCATTGGTTTTAGTTTTTAAGTTTGGTGCCCCTTTTTTGCTGTCTATCTTGAAGATGGGCACTTGATGACGCAGGCATTCTTTAGCATATCATATCAAATATTTTCGTTTTAGAAAAAGATCTTAGTTTGGAACTTGGAGTTTTGAGCCAGAGGTCTTTTGGAAAAATTAGCAACTTAACAAATCAGGATATGAGTGTAAAATATGGGAAATGAAGGAATTTTTTAATACCACAAAAACTAAGGAATATTTACAAAAAAATCACTTAATAATATGAACAAGAACTTGTTTGCACTTCAAACCTTAGGGTTATCCAATTATTTAAAAATTGCCGACTTGGATCAAGAATCACTGATCTGGATCTGAATTGATAAGGGACCAACACAATTCATTACCAAGATCCAATTTAGAGGGACTAGCCCAATTCTGTCAAGTCTACGGTCTCCAGATTGGCCTAATCCGCCAATTCTCACCCAATTTACCTTTTTGATAGTTTTTATTTTTAATTATTTCTAAATGTAATCATCATCATCGTCGTCATCATTTGAGCCTTATCTAAACTATTTGAGACGATCTACACTATTCAATTGATTTGGTCGAGTCCCTCAACCACTTACCTATAGGTTTCTAGATGAATCGGGAAAATCAAGTTCTACGCTCTTATTTTTTAAGCACTGGGTAACAATCATGGGGGTATCTATTAATATTTTCTTTTCTTTTTTCTTTCTATTATTAGTTTACTACTACTACAATTTTTTTTTTTTTTTCTCCCGTAATCGTTTCAAAGTTTTAAGCATGGTACAGCCCACATACAAACCTTAGGGGATTCCAATTTATCTGAAAATATTCAGGTCTTCTTTGATTCACCTTGTAAACAACTTCCAACAAAATGTGATGCTTTTGAGCCCTTAGAACGCTACATATGATCGTTTCATGTACCTGTATAGATAATTTAGAAAGCATTTTAGATAGAAATGATTTAGAGCATATTTTTGAGCTCCAATATAATCTTTTTTAGAGGAATTTATTCAAAAAAATAAAATAAAAATCTCCCCCAAGCTGTGGTTTTTGAAGGCTTGACCACGTTGGACTAGCAAATCAGTTCACATGTTTTAGATGGTCTAGTTAGCATAAGGCCCACCTCAAAACCTTATGGGAAAATGTAGTTAGCATAAGGCCTACCTAAAAAATAGTGCATCTTGTAACATATTTTTTAGACAGTTTACTTTCAAGATTTTCTTAAACCATTTATTTTCAAGATTTTCAAATATTTACATATCTATTTGATCAACACCATTTTTTGAGTTTCAAATTTTTATTGTTAGTGCAGAGAAAGGATTTTTAGGTCATTCAAAGAGTTTTCGATACTGAAACTGTGTCATTTAGCAAGATTTAGAGATGCACGTTAGTCTGATTGTTTAAGACTTAATGCTAGGGCCTTATATAAAATCAAACCCACCGAAAAATAGAAATAGAATGTCAAAATCAAAGTTGTGCCATTAGTGTATTCTTACAAAAATGGCGATTTGAATTGGGAAGCACATCTCAGTCACCAACTTGTTCAGTAGTTATCCTCTCAGTCACGCACTAGTTCAGTAGTTATCCACCCAAACCATGGGTGGTAAGATCCTTGTGTTCAATCATTTGACAACCAACAGTGTTTAGGTGGACCATTAAATAGGGGTGACCCCATATACTCCTTGGTAACTAATGAAATTCTTTTGTATCATAGATTTCTAGATTCAGTTTAGGGTTCGGTTTAGTTGCCTCCGGGGAGTGTCCTGTGTTGACGCACCTATTGCAGTTAGTCCACCCTCCCATATCCACCTCGGATATTGTCCTTGGATTCAAAATTTTACACATAGATCATATAAGGATGAGGTTTCTATGAGTCAGCCGACTCATACTATGCATATATGCCCCCCTTTTAAATCATTTTAGAAATGGATTTTTAATCTTAAATTTTAGGGATTCATGATCTAGGTTAAGATGACCATAAGCATGAAAAAAATTTAAATTTTTTTATATTTAAAATGTGATTTTTTGAAAAAAAATTCTATCTTGTATAAACCTGGTGAGTTTTTTACAACATCTGAGTCAGCGGGGTTCTTGCCCGCTGACTCATGAAGGATTTTTCTATCATATAAACCACCATATGATCGGGGAATCGGAAAAAAACATATACTGAATTTTGATCCTAGAAAATGTTATATTTTGCAAGTTTTTTAGATGATTAATTTTAATTCTTGAAAGAACATCATATTTGCGCTGTTTTGTAATTCTAGATTCATGGATTTGATATTAAAATAAAATTTAAAATTTAAAGTAATTTGGGATGTATTTGTTTTAAATTATTTGAACTTTTCCTTCAAGGCACATTTGGTAAATGTGAAAGTAATTTCGTGAAAGTACTTTCACATGAAAGAAGCCCCCTTATGATTAGGTGTGAGAGTTTTTTCACACCAATTGCCTGCTCAACGTTT